ATGGAGCATGACGGAAATTCGCGTCATGAAATCAAAAAGGTGAATAGTGCTAACAATTTTCTAGAATGTGTGCTAGAGCAGTGCGAAAAAGCTTTACAAGGGAAATTTCTCAAGGTGAGCCCAGAAAACGCACAGATTTCATTGAATCATTGAGATGCGCCAAAGGCAAAGCGAATCTCCTCAGTTCCATGTGAGGCAGCTGCGAGCTGCTCCAGTAAAAGGAGAGAGGCGCATTCATATAAAATAGGAAAATTAGCAGCACATTTTGTATGCGAAGAAAATGAAGTTCTATCAGCTGCGAGAGACCTCGAAAGCACTAATGAGAATTGTAAAAAGAAAATAACAAGTTTGCAGGCAGACAGTCTGAGGATGTAGATGGGAGAAAGGAGCCTCAGTTGAAAATGGCGAATCCCAAAGAAACCGCAAAAACTGCTAAAGGTGAGGATGCACCTTTTCACAGAGATTCATGTCAGGGGATTTGCCATAAAAACGACCAATTTCAGTTTCGACCAAGGTCGCCGTTGAAGAGAGAAGAGCCGGTACCCCTTGCAGAGAGGTGGGAATGCTATGGAAAGTCGAAACAATCGTGGAGCAAGTCTTCCCACGAAGAGCTATTGGGTGAGCAATGTGATCAATTCTTGAAAATACACATGTTTCACCGAATTACAATGATAGTGAAGGCCTCTTGTGTGTATTCAAAGAAACGATGAAAGCAAATGTAGCGCCTCGTAAAAGTGAATATAATGGTAGCACTTCCACTGACCATTCCGTAACAGGCTTCAATGCTAATACCCCCCCCAGCGTTGTGGTCCGACGCCCAGTTGGTTACGTAGTTAGAATACTTGCCACGACCTGTCTGGAAGGGAAAGCAAAAGGTACTTTCGACAAATTTTTAAGAGGAAACAAAAAAATAGTTCATTCACTACAGCATTCACCATTTGTTATAAGTTTCAGTGTGAGCGGCAACTTTAGAACAGTGGAAGAATCTTAAGAAATTTTCAAAAGAGTCGATAGATGACTTTTGTAACAGGATGGAAAAAATTTGTAGGCTTGCCACATCCTGCCAGTAAATTGCAACTTCGAAGTTGGGCGTACCGATGTTATGAGTACATCAATCAACTTCTGGCCCAATTCATATCATATGTTGGCTATGCTGGAGACTCAGCCCGGTCAAGTTTACCAGTCCGTTAGGGAGGTAGCCTTAAGACGAGAAGGAAGTAGAACCAACGGGATAATGGCGAGTCGCGAAGTGATTTCATTAGGTATTCGAGCCAAAGCTGTCATAGATACCGGGAGCGTCATCTCAATAATCTCTCTAGAGACGCTCAGGCGAGCACAGAAAGAAGGCGCATACCTATACAACATGTGACCATGCTCGGAGAAGTCAACGTACAGGACATTGAGGATGCGCTGGGTAACTCAATGAAGTTCCTACAGCTGATCTCCACTAACCTTGAGGTACAGGGTGCAGGGAGGCACGATGACTTATGCATGTGCAAGACAGCTTGAAAATGAGACAATACTGCTGGGCACAAACGCTCTAGAAAGCCTTGGTATACACATCACCTTTGAGAAACCAAATACTCACTTAAGTGGGAGGAGCTGGAGGCAGCACTACAGGGAAAGCCAGGGTGGTTGCAAGAGTGCTCGTACCACCGAGTGGTACTTCCAACGTTAACATAACAGTTCCGATCTTAGAAGGCGAAAGGGTACTGAGATCCAGTACCGAGAGGATAGGCTCTGGAGTCTGCCATATAGAAAATGGTACCACCGTCGTTCACGGAACCAATCAGAGCAAGCAGCCCTGGACTCTTGGGAAAGGTGATTGCGTAGGATGCTGGACAAATAGAACTTGGTTTACCCCCAACAGTCAAGCAATTCAGGGTGATATGCTGCAAATGGAGATCCCTGAAGTAGCCCCCAAAGAACACCGAACAAAAGAATTGTTGAGCATTTTTGCTAAAAACAGGACGGAGTCATTGAAGGTATTCGATCATCATGGGCTTCGCCCAGAATTCGCCCCTAGAATTAGTTGCAAAAAAGGACAGTACACAAAAAGGATACTCTAATGTGTTGATTACCGAGAGGTTAATAAAATCACAAAAAAGGATAGCTACCCGTTGCCGTCAATAGATGTAACTTCACAGAAC